CAGGGTAGTGTTCTCTAGGTACCCTCTATTCTTCTTTGATCCTACAGGAACAGTTACTAATTATACACTGCAAGCACATATTGCTTTGCTTTGTTAAATGGACTCTTACCAACGTGCAAATTATTTCTGATGCAGAATGGAGTGCAAAGAAATTTTTCTAATGCATAGTTAAATTTGCTTCAACTCCAGCATGTGATATTCGCTTTTTAGAGAACACCTAAAGAGCTATATCCTCTCTGCCACACAATATCACATTTTGTTTCCAAATTAAGCTTTGTTTGCTTTTGTTTCAAGAACTATTATAGGAAGAAAACCAACATTAGTGACCCAACTAATCTATCAATTTGACAAATACGGTATTTACAGTAAGTTTTAAAATAGGCTAATATATATTTGCTGAAACAAAAAGGACACTTAAGGTTTCCACTAGAATGAAGTTCTGGTATGAAGTCATTCAGTAAGACTTCCTCCCACCAAAAAAGTAAAGTTTCCTCAAAGTCATTTGTAGAATATAGAAATAAATTGTATAGCCTAGAAACATGCTACATTAGACCAAAAAAACACCCAAGAATCAATTACAGTAAGTCGAGTCTCATATCCCTAGAAATCAATTCTCCTGTCATCATTTTATCTACTGACATTATTCTGGGATCTCGTTATTCAGCACAATTACGGTACAGAGAGGAAAGCATCAATTAAGTGTTGCAAAGGTACAGCCAGTTGCAGCTGTTAAGAAACAGCTTCTAAGTTAAGCCCTTTAGAAGTCTTGTAAAAACTGGGCTAAGTACAATTTTAAAAAGAACAATCTCTAAGACCTCAAAAGCAAGGATAGTATATTTACACCTTGGAAGGTAAGTCACTTCATACACACTGATGCCTGTACACGCCAGAGCATGGAGATGACCTTCAGGGTTCATTCTCAATGTCATATGGAAGGAACTAGGAGCAGAACTGCCAGTAAAGTTAACAGAACTTAGACAGCAATGCCCCTTCATACCATTCAATTATTAAATATTTTATGTATTGTGTGTGAAAAATCTCAGTTTTGTATTGAGAAAGCAAATACTGAAATAGAAACAACTTTTAGCACAACAGATGTATTTACTTACAGCATGCAAGGTTTGTTTTTATGTGTTTGAGCAGCGAACAGCCACTAACAGCCCTTAAGTATTTACAAGTTCAAAATTACAATCTTCACATAAGTAGCAATTGCTTACAAAAAGTTCAGGACACTCCCTGGGAAATAAGCAAGAAATGGAGTAAAAAAATACTGAAAGCAGTAATAAAAAACAGTAGCAAAGGAAGACATAATAGCTTTTAAAATCCAAACAACTTAACACTGTTCTGGTAAAAGAAAAAAAAAAGCCACATATCACATTCAGAGATGCCGTTTTAAAATAAGAAATGCACCTTTCTGGGTTTTTTAGGAGAAAAGCTGTACATAAGCTTAAAAAAAGCCAAACAAGTAAATAAACAAAATATAACTCCCTTTGGTTTGCCAATTTATCTTGAAATAGCTTTTCCACACACACCCCCACCCCAATTTGCAAGGCAAATGTGATCAGAGACTGAACAGCTTCATAGGTGATCACAAGGAGAAAGATGCTTCAACCCCAGTTCATGGTATGGGAAGCAAAAGTAATAGCTTTTTTATAAACATGAAACTTTTTTCAAAATAATAAATTCTAAAACTTACCCAAGATGCAATGCATATGTTAGTTCTAATTGACAGCCAGGTCAGAAAAAATCCTGCTCCTATGTTTAAGGCAGTCTAAGACTAATTCGAGTCTCTCCAGCCTCTTGGAAAAGAGAATTTTGTGGTAAATTACACGTGCCTGTTAGTTTCAGGTTTTATTTCATGCGCTAATCAAGTAAGACAAATTTAACTTGTAGCTTTTTGTAATAAATGTGTATTTATATCTGCTTCTATAAAGTAGTAGTATTTCTCTCTGTAGGACTATGGAACCAACCTGGAAACAAGGAATTTCGCCAGTAGTGACATCTGAATGTTTGCACCACTTCATGAAGGGTTTCAAGGGTATTGTCCTTCTAAAAAGGACTATCTTTTAAAGCTATGTTAGATTTTTATAAATAATTTTGTACCAGCTGATGCTCATACTAGAAACATTTTTCATGTTCAACTCTAGGAATAGCATAGGGCAAACAAAGTGCTCCAGTTTTACCTGCTGTTTTGTTATGCCTGACTTGAAGGAATCTTAGCTTAATATATTTTTGTTTAATAACAAAATACAAATATTTAAGTTGGATATTTAAATTTTTGCATCTCTTGTGATTTTTTCTTCTATAACAGTATTCATATTGCATGATATTTTGTGCTAAACTGCCCTTTTGAGCCTAGCCCCTTATGAAACATGAAAATAGAATAGTCAAATTTTTTTCATGTAAACTTCAGTAAAGTAGTTGCAGTCTTAGAGACAGGGTTGTAAAGGTGCTGTATAAACATTCTGATATACATTTCCTGTGTACTAGACTATGTGGTACATGGAACATGACATTCTGAAGTTACCCAATGTAATGTATAAAAATATAAAATATTTGACTAACAGTAGAATAAGCTACAGTGCAATTTTCCTTAGCCTGTTGAAAGCCCTACCTGCATGATTTTTTCACCCATTCTAGATCTTCCACAGTAGATTTTATTTTTCATTAACAGTATAGCAGAGCAAGCACAGCTAGAAAAGACAGTTTTAAGAACACTCTTATGCTGTAAACTTGAAGTTCCTAGAGGTCAAATATGTACCCTAAAAAATCAGTTTTGCTCACTTGTCTCTTCTGTGCTAGCATTTAAACATTTTTTACTATAAAATGTAAAGCTAGGATATTTAAGGAGAATATGCCCTAAATTTCAGAGAAAGTTATCCTATTATTTTCACCAGTCTTCAGACTAATTTAATATAATTGGAACTACAGCACTTGCTCAGGGCTTTAAGCATAAGGCATTGTGTGTACATTCCCCCCAGCTATTTATTTAATGGCTATCTTAGTGTGCAAAGCCAAGTCAGTGGAAAACCCTCCCTCAAAATCCTGGAAACCAATTTACCTTTTACCGCATATTCAGCATTAAACTGCAAAAGAGGAACAGGTAGAAAAATCAAATCCAGTGAAGTATGCACTGAAACAACCTAACCATTTTCTACTAGGTAAGGGCTTTTCAACTGTAGAAGTTGTTTAACACACTGTCAGTTCCCAATACATCAGTCTGAATACGTTCACAGCGGTGCATTCTGAATGCACTGAAGAAATGCATCAGAAAAATTAGCTTTTCACATCATCTAATGCCAGCGTACCATAACTTTGACTGCTTTGAGGAAAGAGATACAAAGTTAATTTTGTTAATTTACATATTAACAGTTTGGAGATATAAGCTCCAATACAAAAAAAATCTTCCAATTCCAAATCTTGTTTACAAAAAAAAATGTAAGCTTTGTATTCTATCTAATCACTATACTTCCCAAACAAATTATGGTTTTCGTGAAAAAAAATGTACAATACTAAACTTAGTAATTCACATCTGGTCAGACAATAAGACAGCTTTTGCTGCAATATGATGGTTCATGACATGGAAAGAACAGATTAGGCAACACATAAACATAGACAAAATGAAACAGAAAAGAGACACATGAAATTACAGTTGAAGGGTCATATTCTACTCATCACTGGAAAAAGGATTATGAAAAGCTGAAAAGTGCATAATAACTCAGTAAAATTTAGATATGCACAAACCGTTTATGCATTGACCATACTGTCTTGACTGCTCACAATCTGCCTATCAGAATGATTAAAAATTTAATTTGATCATTATATTGTCTTATAGCTATCTAAACTTGGTAAAAGTGATTATCACCTTTAAATATGAAGTGTTAATGCATAAAAATACATATTTTTTCTAGAATATGGATTATATTTTCTAAGCAAGTATCTAAAAACAATGGTTCTTCTAAATTAGTTTTGAATAATAAGTGAAGCCCATTTCTTTGCAGAACAGGGTGGTTTTATTGTTTATATATCTAGATAATTAATGTTGAATATCTGTCCACTGTATAAACAATCTTCATAAAAATATATCCTCTTCCAGTAACTTACAGTACACATTAAAAATACTTACAAAAGGGATTATTGTCCATTTACAACATCTTGAGCTTAAGGACACAATTCTTGGGTCACTTGATTTATGCAATTTTGATCAGGTTAAACTGAATATCCTGGTTAACTTGAACCATGCCAGCAACATGGACAATCTAACATTTAAAAATATCTGCCTAATTATGTAGGATTTCAAATAAAATTAGGCATTTTTACATCACAGTATATATGGCATTTCCTAATTTAGCAACAGAAAGGCACAGTTATTAAACCATAAAATACAGTACCTGAATCGCATATAGTCTAGTGATATCTACTAATGCCAATCCAAACACTTTACTCTGTAGAGGGGGCTAAAGAAAAAGGCTTCTCTTTGTTTTTAGAAAAATTCAACCTCATTACAAGTTTGGTCCCTTAGAAAGGCCTATTAGCTGAAACATGTTGAAGCTGGACTTCAGGAAAGAATAGAGGAAAGCAAATTTAGCAGTCTATGGTCCAACAACTTGTATAAATTACTATGAAATGGCAAACAGATCAGGAATGGAGCTTTCTGATTAGCTGTCAGATATACCTGTTAAAATGTCAATGTATACAGGTACAGTATGACAGACATTCCAGATACATTCATTGCATCACACACAGAGACTTTGTTACAGCAGTAAGTCCAGACATAGCATTTATAGAGTTCAGCACTTCTCACGGACTGATATTTGACTTCTGGCCCCATACCATACCCAAAGATGTGCAAAGTTCTTTAAATGCTTTGCCTGCTATGTATTGCTGTTAAAATGAAGACCCTGCTAAAGCCAAGCTCATCGGCCTTCCCTTAGCAAACTAGTGCACCTCTTCAAAAAGCAACTAGCTCTGTTCTCCCTATGTAAAGTGATAAAACTGCATCAAGAAAGACCGATAAAATGGAAGAGGGAAGGAACAATAAACATGAGGGAGAACCCAACCGTTCCATATGTAATATAGCGATAGGGAAGCTCAACTTCCATGCGTTGTCTTGCTTTCCGTACATCGTCATGTGGTATGCGAAATATTTTACATGCCAGTGGAATAGTGGCTTTTTTCATGGCTACTTTTGTTAACAACAGAACTATGACTCCAATCAACAACCGCAATATGGCTTTTCCGAACACAGTCACAGTGAGAGAGGAAAGAGATAAAGGTAACGTATCGGGAGGAGGATCTAGCTTTAGACCCATTATGTAGTTAACATGAGAGCCACAGGCTACTCCAGCACCACAGCCCAGTATCTGAGCTGTGTCTCCTCGCGATGTGCTCCAGGTGTCTAGAGTAAAAGAGAAGATGCCCAGGGCTAAATGGAGACTGATGATAATTAAGGGTGCGTATTTGTAAGTTAAGTTGAAGTTATCAATCAGGTCCACAACTGGATGGAAGACAACCAAGATAAGAATAGCATACAGAAATCCAGCAATAACATCCTGTTGAAAAGAGAGAAAGATATAGTTTCAGTGTAACAACTATTTCAAAAAATAATTTAAGTTGCATTAGCAAGAAGACCAGCCTAGTTGCTTTGTTGCTAAAAGCGACTTGTGGATTCCCATCTTTTCTCATTTACCATACAACATTAAATCTTTTTATGTCAAAGATAAGGGGAGGAATTGCATTTGATCACCTATTAATAGGACACCTGCATCATGATCAGATCATGAATGATGCCATGATCAAATGATCCATGATCAAAGTTGCAGATCTACAGACTTTTCAGCAGGGTCTGGAGCGATAGGACAAGGGGTAATGGTTTTAAACTGAAAGAGGGTAGATTCAGGCTAGATATATGGAAGACTTTTTTTTACGATGAGGGTGATGAAACATTGGAACCAGTTGCCCAGAGAGGTAGTAGGTGCACCACCCCTGGAATCATTCAAGGTCAGTTTGGACAGGGCTCTGAGCAACCAGAGCTGGTTTAAGGTGTCCCTGCTCATTGCAGGGGAGGTTAGACCAGATAACCTTTAAAGGTCCCTTCCAACTCAAAGCATTCTATCAGTCTATCTGCTGGCTACAACAGTCCTTGTCCGGGACTGGGGCATTCCAACCTACAGGCAGCACAAAGCTAGCCCAGCTAAGTAAGTTCTGCCAACTTACTTTGCTCAAACAGCTCAACACTGGATCTAAGTGCCCACGTGCCAACACACCGGCACGCTGGCAGCAACAGCTGGTAAGGCAGTCGAGAACCACTGCAGATAGGCATTACAGCAGCTTAGACTTTCCACTCCAGCTTCAGAGTTAACAATACTGCAAGAATAGAGAACTGTTTCCAACTACTAAACAAGAGGAAGAGGTAACTTCTATGGCTTCATACTTTATTTTCAGTTTTATTATTGTTGTTAAAAATGCCTTTTGTTAATTAAAAGGTTACTCTATTTGTAATTTAGCATTACATTTCAGTTACTGTTGATTAATCACTCAGTTGCACAGAATTATCTGCAACTTTTGTCACCTTTAGAAGTTGAGGAATTTGTTGAAAGCTTTTTAGAAATCTGAGCACTAGAAACTGGATCACCTTCATTCACATGCTTATCAACTTTTCTATATAAGCCAGGAGGTGGGACTTTCATCAGCAGTACTTGTATTGCTCAGTCTTCAATGAGTCATTTTTATTCACTTCCACTAATTGAATGATTGATAAAAGCTCTAATACAATTGACTGATAAGAAAGTCAGACTTGCTCATTTCAGAAGCAACCACAACAACTTTCTGCCATATTTGCCACCCTACCTCCCCCCCCAAAAAAAAAAAAAAAATTAGGCACCATGGTTGATTTTACATTACAGGCAACACATGGTTAATTGTATTCACTCAAACACTATAGAGGATTTAGATATGAAACTGCTAAATAACAGTCTACATGATGCGTCACTTTGTTGCATGACTTTGTTCTAAGACATTATCTGTCAGCTGACGCTGTCAGCTGAAATATTAGTTCATCCTATTGTCCTCCACACAAGTGGTTCTGACTTGGGAAGCCTCCTAATCACTAACGCAAGTATGTCACGGTTTTTCTGAGCTGCCTTATTTTCACATCTGCCTTTTACACTACGTTCATCTACCACCTTTACTACTCACTACCAGGCTTACTGCTTTCTGTTAGCTTTTCTCCTCCTAGCAAGTGATCCTCAAAAACCTCTTGAGCCATCGTTATTAGTGGTCTTACATACTGACTACCATTTCGTAGTGTTGTTCTCTTCCCACTTTAACATTGCATGCATATGTGTTTCAGTTTTTTTTTTTTTTTAATCCTTTTAAATAAATAAGTCTTTTTCAAAGATGACAACTTTGTTATTTGGGTTTAGAAACTTTGGTAAGTGAAACCTTAGTGTTTAGCATGGCACTCTGAAATGCATATGCTTTGAGTAGCTGACATGGAATCCAAGTGGACATTAACAACCACACTCTCATCCTGCAAAATTATTTCTACTCTGTAGAGGAAAGCTTAGGCTACGCTTTGGTGCAGTCATCAGCTTCTGCACTAAAACCGCTATTAAACATCAGCTAAGTTTCAACTATGCATTGAGTTTATGAAAGAAAAGTATAAATTAACAGAAGCTTGACATCCACTTTTAGCTATTGTATCAATTTCTCTGCTGAAGAAATGTAAGTATTCTGTTCCTATGCGGTAGGACATTCTAAAAAGAGATATATATACACAATTACTTCACTGTAAAAACTCAACTGTGATGGAAGTCTATGAAATCAGAACAACATTAAAATAGAAGTTTAGTAGGATTCTTTTCTTACCAAAATTGAATGCATTCCCATATAAATTCGACTACAGCAAACCAAAGAACACCAGCAGAATGCAAGGATCAGTCCAAACATAAGGGGATACTGGTAGGGAAAAAAATGGAGAGATTGTATTAGAATTTGGAAAAAATAAAAAAATAATAATAAAAAAATCACTCAATATGAATTCTATGATTAATTCCAATTAATGCAACTTACTTTTAAGCTTTTCCTTGCCCTAGCCTACTCAAGCTTATTTAGATCACTTCAAGTAAGTCCACCTTTCAAAGTCAAAACATTAAGTCAAACACTTTCAACTTTTTCCTTGTCCTCTTCCTTTGCATCCAGGATATATGAATTTCAGGGCGTTGGTCATAGCTTTTCAGATAAAGCAGTAAGAAGTTAATAGATCTTTGTAGCAGTTAGTCTTGCCATGTTATGATATCCTAAATTCACAATACGGGCAGAGACGAGCCTTGTGTTATAAACTGTGGAACAGTTTTACACTGAGTGAAGCAGCTACACAATACACTGGTGTTGTTAAAAGTTACCCAGGCAGAATCTAGTAGCTTCACCTTTCTCCTGAAAAGGAAGAACTCATAGTAATTTACAAATACATTCAATTTCTTACACACTGTTTTAGAGTTTCTGCAATCCTTAACTCAATCTTAGAGTGTCAATATGAAACTCCTAGAATAGTAATCTTTTTTTGTCCTCTACAAACCCAAATAAATTTCCTTCTATAATCCACGTTTATTACACAAAAAATTCAAATCATTATTTCCAATTATTTCCATCTTCTGATAGAAGATTTTTTATTAATAAGAACTCTTTACCAGGAACAAACAAAATATTTTGTTTTAATAAGGACATATCAGCAGTTGTAGAAACTTAGTATTTTAACTTTCTTAGGTTTTGGATAAAAGTATGCTAATTCACATCTTACAGCACAACAAACAGGGAGTCTAGCTGTACTTGGATCTCAGAATAAAAACTAAGAATTACAGGCAGTTTTCTTGCCCTTTCCCTTGCTCCTTTTACGGATAACCTGAAGGGTAGAATATCCAACAAATTAGAGAAAGTATCTTTAATATTATTGGAGGAAGTTGTATGTCATCTGTGAATGCCACTTAACAGATTGACAAGCTTCTAAGTCAGTCTTTCAATGAAAGGTTTGACAGAAGACTATCAGTCTTCTGCATTATTTCAACATTCTTTGAATTCTCAGCTCCAGGACCATGTTAGCATGACAAACAAAAAAATTCTCAAGCCAACACAAAATCGGGAAGGTCATGTTTCACATAAGAAACAGATTTCACATTAAAATCAATTCCAAATGCCCAGCTCACAGTTGTCTTACATCTAGTTTAAACTCCAATTCCTGTAGCAACATTTGTCTTTGTTTCTACTACATTCATCTACAAATTGTACCTAAACAAAACGATTCATTACTTATGATTCAGTACTTAATGATTCACTTCTAACTGAAATGATAAAGGAACAAATTCAGTTCCTGCCTTTCAGAATTATGCCAATAATGGGCAATATACCAATAACTAGGTCACACTCAAGACATGATTGCAGAGTTATCAGATGCTGACATTGTTATAGCAGCCACTAAACTAATCATAGAATCATAGAATCATTAT